CCTGTCACCTTAGCACGACGACAGCCTGTATCTAGTTTTCTCTCTTTAGCAATTCCACTTCGTTCCATCGCGACCGTAAGGGAGGCTAGTGGTACAAGATCCGTAAGGGACACTCTAGCCCGTGACACCCAGGCTCAGCAAGATATCAGGAACTATTTAACAACTTAGATAGCCATTATATAGCTTCAGATATACCAGTATAGGGGTTTGGGTAGGCCCGGTGTTGATAATACTCAATAACAAGAATTTCAGGTTGTCTGGATTATCTTACTATAGAGAGATTTTACTGTAAGGTACTCTGTACCTACCTTGTCTTGGGGCTGATCCTACCTAGTTATTTAGGAGTCCTTATCAACTTTAGTAGCTGAACTACTGCACAAACTTGTATAAATATTCAAAGATCCATAATGACTGGATATTAACTAGCAGCAGAGCTACGTGAACATAGGAATGAAAGTTTTACTATTAAAGAACACTAGTTCATACACACCAATCCTTATTGTAAGATCATGGTAGCTTTATGCTTGGAAATCTAACAAGCTGTACACACAGTGAATCTGTCCAGAGTCTTAGGGAGAACATCTTCTTAGCTAGTCTGGGCCTTTTAGCAGCTATAAGAAATGCATTCAAGGTGCTGATATCAGATAATTTTACACTCCTTTCATTTATTAGAAACTGTAATACTATCATAGGTTCAGAAATTACCAGTATTTTATATATAAATAATAAATTAATGAAGGTCTGATTCTTCTCATCTGAGTGGCTGTTCTATGTACTACTGGATGGGGCTATCTAACTTATTACTCCATAGTGTAGATTGGCTTTACTCCGTATACAGTAAAAGGACATCTTGGGGGAGTGGGTCCTGAGCCCTGTGGCTGTTAAGCTGTTTAACCGCTCCAGTCAGTAGGAGGTGAGACAAACCTCCCGAAAGTCAAGTCTCTTGGCTGTATTGACAATGATAAATTCCAATGGTCTTCGACGTCCGGTGTGTAACCTGTTTTCAAGGACCGAATTATCTGCCTGAGGGGCGAGGGTTCATTTCCATTCAACTATCTACCACTCTTCTAGCTAGAGTATCGCAGAACTAATAAAGAATACTTGAGTAGTATTTCTAAAGATGCCCATGAATTGAATAAAATAGACTTTGTAATAAGCTTAATAGCTACAAGTAGAATGATTATCAGACTTAAAGATATTTGAAAAGCTACTGGCGAACTCCTCATTAACCATCCCATCTTCCTTACGAAGGATCTTTAGAATCAGAAGATTTTTGGGCTGAGAACAAAGCAGGTAAGATTGTTGAATAGTCCCGCTGGTACGGAGTACTCTGTGCAGGTATTTTTCCAGATGCTAGCACTAGTAGTCCATGCAACCATCCTTTATAACATCTGCGAGACTGCCATCAATCGCTTCCTGATCACTTCGTAGTATTCGACACGTTTAAAATGCTTCTACCGCGGAGGCTTTTGAGGCTCAGTGTGCTTTCGCTTCTCAACTCATATACATGCCGTGTGTTCCTTGGCTTTACCTGTTTATATACTTCAGCAATATATTTCGCCCGCATACGATGTTGGCGTGATCCAACATCGACCTTCTTCGCAGAAGACAAAGCTTACGAACCTGCCTATTCAGCCCTTCGCGCTGCGCAAGCCAACACCCTCTTGGAACATGCTAACAATAATACCCTTCCCCACCACTTTCAGTCCAAGGCGTCTGCCCATCCCACGATGTGTGTGGGAATTGCCTCAGTCGCGCGGGAGGGCGTAAGCTATCTCCAGAGCGCAGTGGGATCGGTGCTAGAGGGTCTCTCTGCGGCAGAGAGAGAAGCTCTATACCTGATTGTTTTTATCGCACATACAAATCCAGCTGAGCATCCGGCGTACTTGGAGCCGTGGCTTCATGCGCTCGCCAATAGGGTCCTTCTCTATGACCCTGACGCTCTCGATATTGACCACATCCGTGGCCTTGAAACCCCCGAGGCAAAGAGCTTTGCCCACGAAAAGGGTCTGCTCGACTACACTTATCTCCTTAAGGCGTGCGGATCCACCAATACATCGTACACTGTTATGCTTGAGGACGATGTCATTGCTCTTGACGGGTGGTATCACCGGACTAAACACGCGCTGGCGGTCATCGAACAACAGACCCTCAAGGAGGGAGCGGACAAGTGTAAGAGTTGCACATTTTACCCTGCTGATAAGAATTCAGATGAACAGAATGAACTAATGTGCCACCGACTGGATAGGGCTCTACCTTCGACTTTTTTACACAGAAAAATTTCTGGGCTGGAACTCGGAAGAATGGCCTATTTACCTCTCCTATTCTCTCCTCGCTATATTTGGAGTCGTGGCCACAACCACGGCGATTCGTCGCTGTCGCCCAGCTACGACTACATACCTGCCAAATGAAACAATAGCTCTCCTCTCCTTCGTCATTACACCTCTGTTGATTATTCTCTTCTTCGCTGCGGGACGGGCAACGATGCTCCCCATGCCTGACGGGGTGCACGCGATGCCCAATTTCGGCTGCTGCTCCCAGGGATTGGTCTTTCCGCAAGCCCGCATCAATGACCTGGTGTCTTGGTATGAGTCCAAACGTGTCGGGTATGTCGACATGCTCACGGAGGATTACGCGGATTAGAATGGAGAGACCCGTTGGGCGTTGACTCCTTGTGTACTGCAGCATGTTGGGAGCAAGAGTTCCAAGACAAATTCTCCTGGCAAACACAAAAACCGACGCACGGCTTCTGAAACAATCTGGAACTTCATGTTTGAGGAAAACGACGCGGACAGCTTACGCCGGGAGCATGAACTGCAGAAAGAAGCAGAGGAACCAATGAATGTATAATATATAGATGCGGTTGCCCAGTTCTTCACCTATACAGGACTGGAACTGATCCCCAAGAACCTCCATATGACCTCAGCTGGATTCTGAACCGTAGACGCTATCCGAGGCAATGACGGCAATAACCGCAACCTGATCAAGTCAGCGCATGTAGCGGGCCTTCCCATGGAAACCTACCAAGGACATATCCACCCCAGGAGTCATAACCACATCCAGGGCAGGCCGATGACCCCTCCGCGAACTAGCCTTCAGTGCCAATTTCTCGTTGTGACGTATACTCTCGCACACTTCCGCTACCTTCCTGTCACCATCGATAACATCGAAGCTTTGCAAAACGCGCCCATGCCGCTCAACAATGAGCGTCAGCTCCTTCTCCGCTGCTGACTTTGTGTCCGACGCAGCCGCATTTCGCAATGAGATACTGAAGTTTCCAAACGCAGGCGCAAGTCGCGGAGCGCCCGTAGCTAATGTAACTTCACGATCACCTCCCGGCAGCGTAATGTACCATGCGCTTTTGAGGGAGATCTTCCTGTGAAGCTCAAAGAGAGGCAAGCCAGAGGCATCGCGGAACTCTCGGCACGAGCCATTATTATATTTTCACCCGCTAGCGGTGAAGATAGTCCGTCCATCTTGGTCCTTGACTTTGTACGCCGTCACCGACTGGGCGTCGCCTTGGGGACTGAGGACGAGGGTTGTTTTCGAGTCGGTGATGTACTCTTGACGCAAGGCGATGGGGCGATGGGGGCCCCTTAGTGCTTTGCGAGGCTTGGAGAAGACGTGATGGTTCATTCGTGCTTGAGCGTAGGCATCAGTCATTTTGCTCGTGTTTTGTTGATTTCCTTTTGAGGGCTGTCGGCGGCTGTGGTGATCCTGGTAGGAAGGGGACACTGTACACAAGTACAAAGAGTATTTTCCTAATTCTGTAATGACTACTATGGACTCAAGAGAATGCCAACGTTACGATTTGCGTTCAGCGCCGCTGGAAGAGGGGGGAGTCTCGTGGCTTGCTCTCGATGGCGAGAGCACGCTGGCAGTATGGACTAAACCCCATACAGACCAGGGGAAGCTCGATCATAAGGTACAAAGTACCTAGTCATGAGCGAATTTTCTGACCCTATCCCATATGACCTTGGCCAAGTTCCCTCCGCCTTCTTTCCAGAACTTCAAGCATCTGATCGTCTTGTCCCGCTCACCCCAGCACCACCGCGGCCTGGGCCGCCTGGCATCCACCGTCTCTGTTAGCATAGGATAGCCTAGCAGTACGACTAAGAAGAGCACTAAACGGACTAGACATTGGTGGCCAAGCCAACACTGATGGTCTTAAAGAGCCCCTTCAGGTGGCGGCTGCCGCCAGACCTAACAGATAGGGATCAGCGAACCCTGAGTCCCTGTCGACCGAGACGGCATAGCCGCATAAAGATACACAGTAGTTACACTCTTCCGAAGTACGACTGGGCTCTTAAGATCCCTGTTAGTCCAAACAAACTTGTTTCACAGTAATCTGTCGTTGGTTTTTGATTTGCTGGAGTATTGTGGGAAGTTAGGACTAGCACTGGCCTACTACACTAATCCACTAACCCCATTGTTGGAATAAGATACCACTATGACTATGGATATGACCCTAGACTGATGAGTACATCGTCCGGACACCTTTTTAGCCTAGTGGTATTATTATTCAATACCCATTATATCGGAGAACTTATACCACTGTACTAAAATAACATCATGACAGTCACTCTTTCAGGGTAATAGTACTTCAGTAACTCCTACACTTTGACACATTATTTCATCTCTAAGCAGTAACACGCAAAAAACTGCAATTTCTCCCGACTGTCTCGGTAATTTGAGTAAGAGATAGCTGTATTGACTGCGAATACCAGGGAAATCACATCTGAGAGATCTTACAGGGGTTTAGCCCATCGTCGAATTTACAGACAAATTCCAGATAGAAAGAGAATTGGAATTAATATTATCTTGTTGAGGTCACGTGGACAGAGGGGGCCTTGCAGCCTGACTGCCTGAGTGAGACACTCAAGCCTGAATAACTCCGCCGAAGACTTGTCACAGAGCTGCTGAGTCAGCCTTGTTGTTCAAAGTTGCCGATTGAAGATCGTGTCTCTGCCTGCTTAAGATCGTCGGTCGATCCTGGAGAATGTTCCTGTGGTTGCATGGCACAGATCATGATCGGAAGTGTTGTGATTCAGAGGAAGATTGATCGGTTTTATTCCCATCTGAAGAAACTTGAGGGTTTTATATACAAGGTGAACATCAGATTGATTGGAAATCAATCTATACGGAATGAATCCGTATACGAAGCTCTCTTGTCTACTTGATCGAGCCTTAATCCACAACATTCCCCCTCAGGATCGTTGTGCTTGCACGGCGATACTGCACTGGCGCAGATTGACTAGGCCTCAGTAAAACCACTAAAACCCTGTCGGGAGAAAAAGTAGAAAGAGCGCCCCTGTACGATCATAGTTCGCATTCTGGTCCTTCTTCAGCACTTTTCAGGCCGATTAGTTGGCAGAATCTTGCAAATTCCGCTGGCCCTAAAGGCTTAGGAAGACCGTCAGCTGCTTCTGAATATATTGGATATCGAATTCTCCGGTACCCAGTACAGACCGTTGATAATTGAAATTCACATTGGAATGCTTGATCCGCTTATGGAACTCCGGATTACGAGACAAGGCTATAGGATTCATTGGTGTGCCTTCAGTTTGACAGGTCTCCATGCGAAAATCAGCGAGAATTTTCCGAACGTCTCGACGTTGATCGAGTGAGACAGATCCATCACTGTGGAAAGCAAATTGGGTTGAAAGAACACGGGTTCCCAAATCTTTCGACTTGAACTCGGAATCGAGTGCTTTCTTGGCCCATCCTGTCTCGCAGTCATTGGCTCCAGCGACTAGGAAGTCATCGACATATACACAGACAACGCAGTTCTTCTTATAGAAGACACAGTTGTCAGACTGAGCCATAGTGAAGCCGTGAGCCGCAAGGACGCGTCGAACACATTGGTACCAGATGCGAGGAGCTTGCTTCAGCCCATAGAGAGACCGCTGCAAGCAACAAACATATCCGTCTTCTTAAAAGCCTTCCAGCATTTCCATATAAACGACTGTATGAAGCAAGTCTTACCGACCCTTTGAGTGAAATTGTCTACATCAACCAAATGCTAGTATACGCAATCCTTCTCATTATCTCAGCCCTCCAGGGGCACGCAATGAATGTGAAGTAAGTAGTACTAGACTCTAGCCAGTGCCTGCTAACCTCAAGAAGCATCTAGTCCAGCATCCAGTCTTACCTCAAGACTTACCTCGACTTGATCTCCAGTTCCTTTGATATTCGCCCTATACCATTATAAATGTGACAGAGTTGGTTAGGTGTATGGCTTCTACTTCTACAATATCTATCTGTTAGGTGGTCTGATGCCTAAGCTAATATGGCCTAGGTCAGAATTATATAGGTTTCTAAGCACATCATTATTAAGTATGGCTCTGATATCCATATTATATATATAGGAAGCTAATAATATAAGATTTGTCGCCTAACATACAATATTTGTCTTCCTATGGTTCTAGATGCATCATGCATGGGAGACAAGCAGGGAGAGTGGCCATGATGAAGATAATCGAATGAGCCCTCAGGCAGATAATTCGGTCCTTGAGAACAGGTTACACACCAGACGTCGAAGACCATTGAAATTTATCATTGTCAAATGTCAATCCATCCAAGAGGCTTTGGGGAGGTTTGCCCCACACCTACTGACCTGGAGTGGTTGAACAGCCCCGGGATACCTACGACGTAGTAGGGTCCACGGTGGGTTGTATGTAAGGTAGGTGGTGGATCAGGTTGGATCAGACCAGGTGGATTCAAGTGGGCCATTTCCAATTTACTATGAACCTTCCACCCCAGAGCCGCTTTAGACAAGGAAGCCTTTCGCTGCATATGAAGGCAACACACATGTATGTACGGAGTAGTTACCTTGCCCATGGTTTTGATATTTGTGTCCCCAGTCTGGGTGGGCGGACTATGCAGAGGGATTGGCTCCGACTTGGTCCACTTTGGGGGCAGAAAATGATTTGGAATATAGAGTACAAACAATGTCGATCATTTTTATGGAGTGTAGTCTATTCGGGGGCGGCCCCTTGCCCTAAATAGACGATATGACTCGATATCACTGAACAACCTGAAGCATTCTCGAACTTACAAGTGATTAAAGCCTGTGAGTTCCTGCAGGGGAAGTGACTAGCATTTCATAGTCCATTGTAGGCTCTTACCAGCTTTGTGCAGTATATTGAATATTCTCTAAAGTCTGAAATAGGAAGGCTGGGACAAAGCTGAGAGATTTCACAGCCATGATAGTGGGTACAGTTGCATTTATATATTGGTGGATGCTGTTTAGCTATGTGTGTACACAGCCTGACAACTACTTCAGGACCACAAAAATTGACAATCCCTTCCTTCTATGATATGCAATGTGGGACAGTAGCCATATGTAAGTCCAGTCTAGTGAGATAACAAGAATTGATGATACACCCCAGGCTTGCTGATGGCTGATCCAGCATGCAAAAATGCCTCACTCAAGGCTTCTAAAAAGGTATATATACCCCCGACAGGACCAAATTCAAGTCACTTTGAACTCTTCATCTTATTGAGAAATCCTAAAGCAAAGACTGATCTATACATCACCCCTCACTATGCGTTTCTTGAGTACCTTTGCCCTCCTCTGTGCAGCGGCTGTGACTCATGCCAGCTGGGACATTTCGGAGTATCACCAAAACAATTGCAAGGGTGAAGCTCAGGCCGCTGCTGGCAATGACGTGGCACAGGGCTGTACCTCAATGGTTGATGATATTAGAGGAGGTGTTCACTCTGTCCGAGCACCTGGCAACGGTTGGAGAATTACAGTCTATGAGAACGGAGACTGCTCCGGCCAGCACACAAGTGGAACAAACAAGGTCTGCCTGACTGCCGATCAGACCTACGGTTCAATTGACCCAGCCGACACCTTGTGGAGGGCTTATAAGGTTTGTCCGACTAAGAGCTAGCAATTATGGTGATGGCAGAGAAGCTAACAAGTGTTCAGATCACAAAGGCTTAAACATACCGAGTCCGCTTGGAAGCTCAGAGTACGTGTTGAGAGAGGAGGCGAGATACTAGGAGAAAGAATAGGACATTAGATACACCGGAGAGACGAGCAGGACTTCTTGTATCTACTCAATTGTTGAAGGTCAAAGAACTAGAGCTCACCACCAGGGTGATATTCCGCACTGCTGATAATCTCTTTTGTGTTGCCCACATTTTATTAAAACGTTGAAAGTAGGTTACTGGAAACTCGAATCTGGCACCCCCGGAGATTATGGTAACACTAGATTTGCATTTTACCGGGCAATAAGCCCTAAAATGTTATGCCTTGCTTGGTGACTTACTGGCTTTACACAGCGACTTTTAGACTATCCTCACCTGTGGCGGGATAGCGCTACTTATAGATGTCTCCCATCTCACGCGAGCTCTTGACCAGCTACTGGTATACCTGCCTCCTGGTGTTTTTGGATACAGGCTATGGTCCATTTCATTCAGGGAATAGGTCGGATTTCGGAAAGCAGAATCCGGTCCACTCTACGCTCCAGAGTCCAGTCTAATCCTGCTGCAGGTGAAACCTGATAAGTGCGGATTTCGGAGGTAGACTCCGGTCTCACTCACTCATGGATTATAGATGCAGTGCATTTATGATCAGCAAAGGAAATGTCACTCTTGTGTATCTTATAATCCGGTAGAGCACAGTATCATACCAGCAGCACTCGGACAAAACTCACGTCTTGCAATGGCTGAGACGAGATCTTACACCCTGGATGCATCCCAGCCGATGCAGAAGCAAGATGGTGCCGAGAAAAGCGCCTCCAGCGATGATGCAGAGCTCAAGTACGAGTATCCTTCAGGGCTGTCGGTCACTCTTATCCTCACATCAGTTACCCTGGCCTATTTTCTATTCTTCCTGGACCTTGCCGTCCTTTCCACAGCCACTCCGGCCATTACCTCCCAGTTCGACTCGTTGGTGGACGTCGGCTGGTAAGTACACTTGACTCGTCAGGACCACCGCTGCTTGCTTCTTTTGCGAGATGCTGATCCATCCTGGCTAGGTATGGCGGCGCCTACCAGCTTGGAAGTGCAGCGTTCCAGCCCTTGACCGGCAAGATTTACAGCCAGTTTTCCATCAAGGTATATGCCTTGGTCTACCACTCAACGCATCGTGCCTTCTGACGAGATCATCATGCAGTGGACATTTCTTATCTTCTTTGTTCTCTTCGAAATTGGGTCGGCCATATGCGCAGCGGCCCAATCGTCGCCCATGTTCATCGTCGGCCGCGCCATCGCGGGCATAGGGTCCGCCGGCGTGGCCAACGGCGCTGTGACAACCATTTCCGCCGTCCTCCCAACAAAGAAACAGGCGCTTTTTATGGGGCTCAACATGGGCATGGGCCAGCTGGGCCTGGCGACGGGGCCCATCATCGGAGGGGCTTTTACCACAAACGTGTCCTGGCGGTGGTGTGCGTTATTCCATTTCTTTGCATTGGAAATGCCAAAGGCTGACCTTCGTCACCTTCCTATGTTAGGCTTTTACATCAACCTCCCTTTGGGCGTCATCGTCGGCGGATTTCTTCTCTTCAACACTATCCCCGAACCGAAACCCAAGAGTCCGCCCCTGGAGATTCTTGGCACCGCCCTCGAGTCTCTGGATCTCCCCGGATTCATGCTCATCTCTCCCGCGGTCGTCATGTTCCTCTTGGGACTCCAGTTTGGCGGGAACCAACACCCTTGGAATGGTTCAGTTGTGATTGGCTTGCTAGTTGGTGGTGCTGTTACCTTTGGCCTCTTTCTAGTCTGGGAGCATCGTCAGGGAGACAGGGCCATGGTGCCCCTTGCCATGCTCAAACACCAAGTGATCTGGTCAACCGCAATGACAATGTTCTTCAGCCTGTCCAGTGTCCTTGTGGCTGATTTCTACATTGCCATTTACTTCCAGGCGATCCGCGATGACTCGCCCTTGATGAGCGGCGTGCACATGCTCCCAATCACACTCGGTTTGGTCCTGTTTACTGTGGTCTCGGGCGCCCTGAGTAAGTGTCCCCGGTCGTAGTTTGCGTAAAGTTCTGTGTTGACTGACCGTCGCCGATCCTACACAGTCTCCGCTTTGGGCTACTATCTTCCATTTCTTCTTGCGGGGGGTGCGATATCAGCGGTTGGCTACGGGCTCTTGTCGACACTCAGTCCTACGACCTCGGTTGCACAATGGATCGGGTACCAGATTCTCTACGGTGTTGCAAGCGGTTGCACGACGGCGGCTGTAAGTTCGATCCTTGCCTTCGTTGGCAAAGAATGATTCCCGTGCCGTCCGCTGATCCGCCGCTTTACTCTAGCCCTACATCGCTATACAAAACCTCGTGTCTCCAGAGCAGATCCCTCAAGCCATGGCCATTATCATTTTTTGGCAAAACATAGGGGCTGCCACCTCTCTGATCGCTGCAAACGCCATTTTCAGCAACAGCCTTCGTCACCAGCTGCAGCAGCGCGCGGCACAAATCGGCCACGCTCCAGACGCCATCGTCGCTGCTGGAGTCCGCTCCATCCGTGACCTGGTCTCTGGCTCCCAGCTCACTGCTGTGCTCGCGGCCTACGCCAAAAGCATCGACCACGTCATGTACCTCGGTATCGCTGTCAGCCTCGCCGTCTTGGTCTTTTCTCCGGGACTTGGATGGAAGGACATTCGCAAGGTCAAGGATCTTCAAGTCATTACCAACGAGTCTCCTGACCGCGGTGATAAAGAGTCGGCCTAGAGACGAAGCAGTGTGGCCAGCAATGGATTGGGCAAGGCTGTAGGCACTATTCTCCACGTAATCTCCGCCTGCTGTGGTCGCGTGTCCACCAGCGCGGTAGTCGTTTTCTGTACCACCCCACAGGTGGTGTTTCACTGTCGTTTCGATTGGGAAATTGGCTCTGTTCAGGATAGATCTTGGGTGGGTAGTGTATAAAACCTTTGACATTATTCTTTTAGTGACTTGACCAATCTTCGCCACCCCTTTGCAAGTTACTGGATTAGTTTACAACAACCGTAGGCGCGGCGGTTGGCCTCCATAGGAGGCCAGCCTCCTCGTTGTATTGCCGCCTTGTATGTCCTTGCACTCGCATTTCGACAAGATACGCCATATAAGAGAATTTGGTTCCATAGCAGGATGGCTGGCTGTCAGGCAAGCGCAGTAATAGGGTATATTACTATATTGTATACTACAAAATCGATATCCTGTCCTACCCTATTCAAAACTTATTCTCGTCACTAGGTCTCTAAATTCACTCAACTACAGCGTCACGACAAGCTTCTTTCCCGAGACACCTTTCCTCTGGAGGTCCAGAGTCTCCTGGATCTTGTTCAGCCCCTTACCTATAATATGCAGGGGCAGTGCTGGCATAAACTAGCACTGCTTAAGCACCTGCGGCAGGAACTCCGGGTAGATGCGAGCCATGACGCTCGTGGGGTCGACTAGGCCATCGACGAGGATGAAATTGGCTTCGACCCCGGTCCGAAGGCGCCTCCCACTCGACTTGGTCATGCCGCCCACCATGCCTATTAAGTACGTGCCCTTACCAACAACGGCCGTGAGCTTGTCGGCAGGGGTTATGGCACCAGCCACAGCGATGCGCTTTCTGGTGAGGTTGACATCGTGATTCCTCATCACGGCGGTGCATCCCAGCCCTTTCAAGGCTCACTTCTTCTTGCCTGATACTCTTGTGTGTGCGGCCACCTTTCTTAGCACACATGCTGCTACTTAGGGTGGCGGCTGCGATGGCATCTAGCACTTGCTTCGAATGCTGGGGGAGCTATAATTAATAGGTATTTATTTACTTTCTAACACCTGTTCCCTGCGGAGCTCGTATTTGTTAATATGTATGATCAGGACTAGACCGTCTTCTTGAGCATTCAATGCTATAAGGTGATAGAAACGGACTTCGGGGGCTCAAATCCGTCGGCATGTCACAGCAGGATTTAACTAACTAATCTCCGCCGAGTTCCCTCCGTTCGACCAGCACAGAACAAGACAACAAGTGTCTCTGGAGCCTGCCCACACCTACATGTCATCAACTGAGTGCATCACTACTATGGAGAGATCGAAATCAGCCCTCGGCCAATCCCGCTCCTATGGCCAAGCTTGCTCGCAGTGCTACAAGGCAAAGAGCCGGTGTGTGCGTACTCCAAGTGGCGATAGTTGTGAAAGGTCAAGTGGTCTCACAGGTCTTGTTCATACATACATGACATTTTCGGCTAATTATTTCTCAGATGTGTCCGTCTCCAGAAACGATGCGAGCCATCAGAGTCAGTTCGCAGGCGGAATACAACCCAAGTGTCCGACAGGCGGATCGCTCGCCTGGAAGACAAAATGGAGAGCTTGTTATCCGCAATGCAATCTTTCGTCGGTTCCACGGCGGCTTCTGGGTCTCAACCTCTCGACGGAGACAGCATTTCATCATCCACGTCTTGTTCGAATACCACTCTAGGAACCCCCGCGAGCACGACTCTGGGCTCCAGAGAGGGACCGACATTCGCGACGGACTCGGTTGCCACAGTCTCACCGAATCAAAATCCGATATTTCTGTCTCATCATTGTTCTCTCTCTACCCCTGCTCCATCGCCAAATCAAGCAGACGAACGGCTCGATTTTTTCCGATCCCGAATGCTGCCATCTTTTCCTTTCATCGACCTTACCCCAGACATGACAAGCCGGTATCTGCGCCAAAACAGGCCTTTCTTGTTCCAAGCCATCCACACCGTTACCACGTTCTCGACACAGGAAAGACTGACTCAAGTTGAGGAGCTGAAGCGCCTCCTGTTCACATCTGCGTTGCTCAAAGTCCAGTCAAATATCGACCTGCTGCTTGGATTACTAACGTATTTAGCATGGAGTACTGACCCTTTTCTTGGCAGAGCAGACCTCGTCTCTCGCCTCATGATGCTCGCCATGTCACTAGTATATGATCTGCGATTGTTCAAACCATCCTCACCAGACGTGCAAATTATGATGGCTATTACCCAGGGGCGGGCTGACGAACATATCGATGGAACGCCCTATGGTTTATTGGAAAGGCAGCGAGCAGTTCTGGCGTGTTTCATTTTGAGCTCGAAGTGCGCACAGCCTCTATCAAACTTCACTACTATCTTTGTTCTTAGTCAACCATACTAACGTATGACTATCCCTAGTATTTCGTCACACCTTGGGCGTCAAGACGCTATACGATGGACGCCTCAGATGGAAGAGGCGCTTCGAGTCATCACAATAAGCAAATCATGCCCTGCGGATAGGTTATTTGCCTCTCAAGTACGCTTGCAGTTGTTAAAGCAAAGAGCGGATGACGTCCGACAACAGGACGAGGCTCGCACAGGAACAGCTCCTGCGGCGGCTTCAGCTCCTCGCTTATTGTATCTCAAGACTTTACGAAGGGAGCTGCATGAGCTAAGATCTTCATTCCCCCCGGATCTCCACCAGATAGGTAAGTAGTTTCTCAAGCGAATAACCCGGCAGACTATCTCTGCGGGATGGCTGATACCTTCGCCTGGGGAAACCAGGCTGAACATGCAGACATTCTCAATACGCACGCCCAATACGTCGAACTATACATAAACCAGCTAGCTTACTCCATAAGTCAAGACTCGCTTCCTCTAGATCTATCTGGACGAATGGGTAACGGTGGCACCTTGCTGGGATTCGAACGCCTGGAGTGTCTGTGGCAGTCGGTGGAGAACATCAAGTCTTGGCTGGACAATTTCTACAGAATCCCTTGCTCGAAACTTGTCGGCCAGCCCTTTCATTTCTGGTCACAGATGATTCTGACCATCACGCTCTTGAAATATCTATCAACACTTCAAGACCCAGAATGGGACTGCCAAGCGGTGCGGAACACAGTTCACCTAATATCAACAATGGACTGTATGCTTCAGAAGCTCGATCTGAGCAGCAAGGAGCCGGAACTTCAGTGCAACGACCATTTCCTCAAGTTTTTGTCCAAGCTTTTAACCAGATATCGCCTGTGGGCCGAAGCGCGGTGGGACGTGGCTTCTCAGATACACGACGTGGAGACCAGGCCGGGCCAGAGTCCTATCCCAGATCTAGATCAGATGGTCTGGATGCAGTCGATGGATCTGGGAGATGATCAGTGGTTTGAAAGTGTACTGGGTATGCCCACGACATTATACTAGTTTGCATTATTTGTGTGAATTCTGTGTATAGTTCATATCACTCCAACAACGTGGATATAGGAAGCATCCAGGCAGCACTACATGTGTGACTGCAGGCCGTCCATGCATGGTAAATGGAAAAGTTAAAAGCCATATCTGTGGGCCTAATATATTTGTTTCAGAGCTCAGACTGCTAATTTAATCTATAGCTTTTTATTATATCTTCTGCTCAGTTTCATTGGGATTCAAATCTTGTAGAATTGGGGCCCTGTATGTCAGGCTATTCCCTACTGCTACATCCTAGTCTGCCTTTCTATATAGGGAATCATGGGATCGGGTCAACACCACCACCATAGTCTTTTGTAAATTGGTTTTCTTAATACTATTTATACAGAGGTTAGTGGGAGAAAAGTTCTACTGCTAAGTGCTAAGTAAGTAAGATCACATAACTACCATAGTCACTATATAGTTCATATGCTGACAGGATGCAACTCTAATAAGGTAGAGCGCCGGATTTCAGAAGCCCGGGATGAAAATAAGTTAACACTATACATCCCTAAACTGTTGCCACTACATGAAAGCCTATGGCCATCAACATTATAATAAGGCCGGTAAGTTGATATAACTTCTAAAGCAAGTCTTACTGACCCTTCGAGTAAAATTGTCAACAACTCAACATCACAAAATGCTAGTACACGCAATCCTTCTCATTATCTCAGCCCTCCAGGGGCACGCAATGAGTGTGAAGTAAGTAGTACTAGATGCTAGCCAGGACAAACACTTCCCTGGAGGACTCAGTCGCCAACTCATGCTCTGATTGTCAAAAAGGCCACAATGATGATCCCCCATGGAATCATCAGCCCCTACCAACCCCCTAGACCTCGGGCTTGATCTGTCGAACTACGTCAAAGACGCCTTCTTACTTGTCCCGACAGCAGGGTCATCATCTTCACCAACGGACTTTGGTGCCTTGCCTTTACCACCTAGTAAATGTTAGTACAACCCACTAAGCACTACGATGGTGACGTACTGCTCTGGTACAGCAAAGTAGCAAGAAGCACCCCAATGATCGATGCCTATCCCAAGTCAGAATGGTCAACGCAGGACAGAAAGCCACCATACCAGCGAGAGATCCATCCCCTCCGCAACCTCAATCTCCCACTCCGGTCTCTTCCCGGGTATATACACCGAGACCATATCCTTCAGCTTGGAGGTCATCACCAAGGCATCCGCATGGTACACGTGTGTTCTCGACTTCCAGACATCCTGACCGCGCACGCTCAGACCAATCCCTCCCCCCCCAGCCGCATTCTTGAAGTGGACGTCAAACTTGTCCTTGAGCATGTGCCATTGGGGCACGATGGTGGCTATGGGCTGGGGATTGTCCTTCTCTTTACTGCCTGGCAGATGAACAAACCACGTCACGCCGAGTCGCTTGCGGGCGATCTCGAAGAGCGGCAGACCCGTTGCATCTTGCACGCGCCGCCGCTGGCTGACTGAGGCGAAGTCCCCGTCTACGGTGAAGAGAGTCTGTGCCGGGGAGCCATCGCTTGGGACTGTGGAGACGGTGAAATCGCCGCCCGACCAGCTTTTGCTGTGCTGTTTCACCCGGATGGTGGTTGTGCTAGAGGCGAGATATTCCGTTCGCAGGGCGATGGGTTTCTTGGGACGGCTTGGCCTGGAGGTCATGGCGAGGGTGAAATCAGACCTAGAGGGTAGTTTGTAAGAGAGATGGAAAAGTGATAGATGTAAAGTTCTTTTGTGGTATGGACCTGTGGTGCGGCTGTACACTATATGATGTTGCAGCGGAGTCAGATTGGTGAGGTGATTCTACCGAACCCCAGATGTTGATATCATTAGAGACCCACAAAAGGCCTGAGCGGGATTCTATATGCTAGTGCATCTTACGAGTTAAAGTCTGGTAGCCGACTTCTCCTCTGGCAAAGTGTATCCAGTCCTAGGCGAAAGGACAAGGACCCAGGCTGGTCATGATTCAGATAAGTAAACCCGGTCCCTCTCAGAAATGGGGAACCCCAGCATGCTCCGCTCTGACAGCAAATGCTCAATCCCAATGGACTGCTGAGTGCTCCGAAACGGACCGGCGCGTTGGCCCACTTAGGGCTGAATTCGTGACTTTTTTTCTGGCGAGTGCAAGGCGCACAGAGATCCACTGATCGGCAGAAGTAATAACTGTGTTTAGGGAACTAGGACTGACATCATAAGATCTGTTTCACTGCAATCGGGCCTTGCTATGGATCAGCCAGATTTCTGAGATGCCTTCGACAAATCACTAAGACGTAAGTCTCTTCCTAGGCTTAAAGCTGTAAATTAACCAGTACTGTTATATATAATACTCTATGAGAAGAAATACTAGAGTGTAATGAATTTTCAAAGTATCTATAGGCCTTGGTATGGGACCAGCCCAACTACAGAGTATCTGTGTACCAGCCATTACAGGATGATGGTTATTGGTGCTTCATTTGACAACCAAAACACTCTCTGGAATTACTCCAGGAAAGCTGGGATGTCATTAGGAACAAGGCGACCCTCCATAGTATGAGATATACAAAGACTCCAACTTTGCAGCGGGATTTGTAGAGGTCGGCTTTGAGGGCTTCGTGCTGACTCTAAGAGGCAACGAGGGGCGACAGGCTGAACGAGAGGGACTATGGAGTGTGCATAGAGAAAGGGGTTTGGTTTTAAAGGTCTTGAGTATTATGAAATGGCAGGAGCCTATGTTGTAGTGTCATCCAAGAGGCTGTCCAGCATTGGGACTGAGATGATAATTATAGACGGAAGTCGTCAGGTTGTGATAGGTCTACTGCCTCAGAATGCCATCCAGTGTAGCTTATCTAAAGATTACAACTACTGCAAGCAAAGTGCTTATTCAAGTACATTGTGCATACCTTATATACCTCCACTCCTGACACACCATCTCTGATATCTATAGCATATTGAGTAGATCGTCTTTCTGTCTGTACCTCATTCTATCTCTAATCTCCATCATTTATTCTACTCTGTATGACTGCTATATCTCAATAGTACCGGCTTCATCAAGATCTGTCAGTCCACGATAGCATGCCCATCAGCTGGATGTTTCTCAGCAAGTGCAACGATCGAGCTCTACATAGATTGTCCTCTTTGATCTTTCTAGCACATACGACCATAGGGTGTGGAAAACAGGGCTTCCCGTCCGCTCAGCCGTACTTAAGCCACACGCCGGCCGGTTAGTAGTTGGGTGGGTGACCACCAGCGAATCCCCGCTGTTGTATGTTTTTTACCACTGTTTTTGCTTCGTTGGTTATATGCTCTTGCCTAGTCGTCAGCCTGTTCACCCTCTTCACCCGAACCTGACTCGAATACCCCGTACTTTCCAGTCGTCCCACTTGTCTGGCTGATATGTCCTCTTCTTTTAGAATTCCCTGACCAGATCTAGTAGTGAAATTATTCCCCTAGAGTACCTGTTTATCCCAATTATACACGCACCGCTTCTCAATTGCCCAGTCCTTGGCGGTTCTGCCCTCCGAATCTCTTATTACTTCGGTATCTGCGCCATGCTTCCTGAGAAGATCAATAACTCTCTCACGCGCGTAGGGTCCCTGTTGTTGAATGTAAAAGGCCAGCGGAGTCCGCCCCAGGCGGTCTTGAGCATTCACATCTGCCCCCTTCTCGATCAAGAAGGTCAAGACAGAGAGTGCGCTTGCATCGTAGGAGGCAGGACCCAGAGCCAGGAGCAGTGGTGTCCGTCCATCTTTCGTCACCTTGCTCTCCAGATGATCCGAGTCAGAAAGTGACCAGAGCAGCTCAACCACATCTATTCGCCCGGCCTGGCATGCTGAATGAAAGGGCAGAGCATGATTATCATCCTGTGCTAAGGAGTCGGCTCCATTTGCAAGCAGTAATTGTATTGTCTCCAGTGGTGCTCCATAGGCTGCAACATGCAGCAGTGACCCGCCTAAGGGGCAGTATATGCTTGAATTTTTATACCACCTTTCCGACGGCAGCCGCTTGTTGACTGCGACCCCTGTTGTTTCTAGGAAGAAGCGGACAATTTGCGGATTCCCGTTAAACACTGCCTGGGCCAAGACGGGGATGCCTCGGTGGTCGACAGCCTGTATGTCTGCGCCATGATCAAGCAGTATCTGGATCGTCTCTAACCCCTGAGCGGTCAAGATGGCTGAGTGCAGGATTGGGGATGGTCAACTGTTGTGAGTCGCCCCCCATCCAATTTGGATTGGCTCCACGTTCGAGCAGAAGCCGAATGACTTGGATCTGGCTCTCCCAGAGCACCGTCTGAGGACGGAGCATCATCTCATGCTCGTCCCATAGACAGTACGCCGCAGCCTGCGCCAGCGCCTGGTCAAGAATCTGCTGACAAACTGGGCCGGGGTAGTACCGCAGAAGAATCTCCAGTGATTTTGCATGGCGATTTGCTGCCGCATCGGCGACTGCCTGCTCCCATTCGCGGGGCGAGATCTGGTTAGACGGCAGCAGCCGATCGATCAGCAGCTGTAGCACCTCTGCGCTGTCCCAGTATGCAGCCGTCATAAAGGCAGTGCGTGTCACCCGGGAGACGGCATGGGTCTCCTCCGAGTCCGTAACATCCAGCCGGGTGGGATCTGCGCCCGCCTCGAGCAGGATGCGTGCGATCTGGACCTGATTGTCCCATGCCGCGAGATGCAGCGGTGTCATACACTTGACAGAATATGCATTAGCACCCTTTTCCTCCACGCTGAAGCCTTGATCGATTAAACGCTGCACGATCTCGGGATGGCCGCCAACGATTGCTTCGTGCAGTGGGTTGTTGTGGCGGTACTCCAAGCCTGCTGTCATCACATCTAGATTATCCAGAAGTTGGCTCAGCCCCTCCCAGTCACCATTTTTCGCATGACGCAGAATAGAGTTGATCAGCTTCTGCCGCTGCACTAAGGGAGATGACATATAGGTGGCTTTTGTAAGAACTGCCAGCCAGGTCGGTGTGGACTATAGATTGGCAGTCTCTAGGATTGAGTGAAGTACGTGAAGAGTAAAAGAAAAGGGGATCTATCCAATGTAGACTAGTCCGCTCGGCTGTTAGTATAGTTCAATCAGTGGGAAGATATAATATCACTAGCAGAGATGCATGGGGAGACTTGATGGCTGTTGTCTGTTACAGGTCTTCAACCTATACACATACAAGTTTGATATCAAAACAAGTTATTCTAGGTACAGTCCTTTTTGCGTGCAGCTACTTGGAGCAGATATCGACGGCTAGCAAACGCAGCTTTCATTAGCTTGCCAGTCCTGACCTCGCAGCGTGCTTCCACTACAGAATTCTGAAACGCTGACCAAGTCTCTGCAGATTTTGATATTATCACAAGATGTATCCTAAGAACGACCCAACCGATAGATCTAAATCTTGATCTCGAAATGGATAAGCAGTACCCGATCTCCGAGACCGAGCTCCGAGGGAAACCCCCGAGAAATAAGTCCGAAGTGAGGATCGTTTGCCTCCCGCGGACTTGATTTCCGTTTACGGCAATTAGAAGTATACATCAACCCCTCTGCTGCCTATCGCCGTATCACCACATCTTCATCCGCGAGTCGGACACGTATTTGTCTGCCTGGGTGGCAAGACACAAGGTGTACGTACAACAAGGTGACTCATAATTGTCATTGTAGCTGCCTGGGCAGGTATATATACCGCAGTCCATCCGTGGGATCTTCAACTGAGCAGGCTTCACAAAACCAGATCAAGTCGCATACAATCATACTCTTGCCCAGTTCAACATGCAACATTCATGCCACTTCAGTCAGCATCCCCTAGCCTGGGATATCTCCATGCTAGAGGAACATCCTTTCTTTGCTCACCCTCATCCCCCTCCATACGATTGCATCTATAAAGAGAGCTCCGGGAAGCCCTCAAAATGCAAGAAAAAGATGCACAAAGAAGAAAGAGCCAAAACGGGTATGGAAGATGATGGACACCCTGAAAAGCCAGAATTCGGTTTCGGTCATTCCGGTGGCCGTGGTGGTCGTGGATTCTTTCGTCGCCATCATGGACCTGGACATCTCCACTTACATCCTCATGAACATGAGCATGCGCATGAGCATGGATTCAATCAATGGACTGAATATGAAGGGCCAGGACTCGGACATCATCACCACCACCACCACAAACGAGGTGGTCCAGGTTCTCGATCCCACACCTGGGGAATGTTCCACCAACTAGGCCGAGGGGCACCGGGACGGGGACGAAGTGCAGGAGGGAGAGGTGGCAGAGGCTTCCGTCATCATTTGTACAACTTCCACCATACGCATCCTCGCTTCCGCCCATTTCACCAGTCACACGACACAACCAGTTTCACGCCCGCGGTCGACGTCTTCATCACAGCTACCCAAATAGTCATCCACGCCTCGCTTCCGGGAGCCCACAAGTCGGATTTGAGTATCGGGTATGATGCATCGCGTTCTATGCTCCGCATGGCTGGTGTTGTGCACCGTCCCGGTGTTGATGAGGAGATGTATCGGGCTTTGCTGGTTGGGGAGAGAGCGCATCAATTGGGGACGTTTGAAAGGGAGGTGCCGATCTCCCATAACGTTGCGGTTGAGGGGGTTCAGGCTCGACTGGTTGATGGGGTTCTGAGGGTTTCACTTCCTAGGGTTGAGGCGGAAGTTCAACAACACAACGAGGAGATGGTGGAGGTGGAAAAGGAAGGTGCAAGAGAGGAATCGTGGATTTCAGGTGGGTCTAACATTGAGGGAAACGAGAAAGAAGAACATGAGGATGCGGCAGAGGAAGTCGAGCAAGAGTATGTGAAGGTGGATATTCAGTGATTGATTTTTCATCATAGGATAAGAAAACATAATTAACATAGGGTAGGATAGCGCATTGAATCTATTCCACCCTAAATCACACATATGGCAAGATTTTCATCAATCGTGATGTAATAGTTTAGTTAAGTCCCACTAATGGGACTCTGTCTTGTCCCTTGAGTTGACACGAACAGCGCCTGACCTGTAAACTCCATGTCTAATACACATTCTCACCTACCATCCTCATGTTAGTCATGTATAGTCCATAGATCCAAACAGGAAGTGAACTACAGAGACCGCAGAGGACAAAGCTCTTATCTTATCGGCCCCTGAGAGGAGATCACGCTAACCGGACTTGTCAGTTGCGGAGAAACAGACGCAGCTCCACAAGGCCATTCAGCTCCTTCTCACGCACAACCATCCAGCAGACCAGATTCAGACCTTTGGCTTGAGAAATGCGGCGAAGAATCACTTTTGTCCAGAGGCCGGAAACTCCCTTTGACTTCGACCAGGCCGTGCTAACGAGCGATGCGCTGTCCATTAACCACCTGGACGGTGCGCGCGAGGAGCGGGCAACATTCGGCTTTGATGAGCTTCCCTCAGAGGTAAGCAGGACTTCGCAGGTCCAATGACAGTACAGTGAGCTGGGCTAATGCTCATTAACGTATAGATCTGGCAGGTTCTGAAATCAAGCCACGAGCTTCACATCCGTTGGGCTACGGAGCGGCCTTATGAGATCGGGGCACCGTTTTCTAGTCGAATATCGCCTGGCTTACATGTTTACTATACACCTGGAGGACCTGGGGAGACAGGGTGCGTATCTATGGAGACATTTTATCTATTGAGCATTCGTTAATCTCAGGTGACAGGAAGGGATTGTGCTCGCTACTGAAAAAGGTATTCGATGAGTCGCTGGAATGTGACAGCCTCAGGGTGAGTTCGTCCAGTCATCGGATCGCGGAATGCAGTCTAACTAGGGTCTACGTAGTCCTCCTTCATACAACCCCCTATCCTCTCGAAACGATTCGCATCCACTGCCGCTTTCCAGTACTACAGTCGTCTCCCTTCCTTACAGAATCTGGCCACCTTCATTCAACACAAGTTCTGTGGCCGGTCGGACGAGAAATGCTTTCGTTATGCTGAATCAATACATTCTGCCGATTCGGTCGATGTCAACTATGACAGCATCTCGCATGCGCTGACCGTGTCGGGGTATTGGTCGCAATCACCAGGCCAAGGATGGACCGAGCAGATCAAGAAGCACGCCGCAGGAACACACCAGGTCGAGGTCGGGCTTCTCGGAGTCGAGAGCGCCGTTGAGCCCGAGGAACTGAAAATGGGTGGTTTACTGGGAGTTGTCGGACAGGACGAAAAGCTGAGTGCGTTGTATACAGGAGATCAGACGTCAAGTTATGACCATGCTGACGGCCGTTCCAGAACCGACCTTATTCTCATTTCCCTCGCGCCACCATCCTCTTCCAGATGACGCGACCTACGCCATCTCCTTCCCTCGCCCAACCGGGCTACATCCCACTCTGACCATCTCAATGCCCCGTGCCTCGCTGAAGCGTCCCCCAGCACCTCCGGATGCGACATGCGCCCTCCACACATACCTGACTCTGCCATCGTGGATCTTCGGTGACAAATACCAGCTCTCGACAACAGACCCACTCTTCCTCAAATCCCACAATCTGGCCGCTCTCCGAGCCGTAGCAGGAGAAACGGACCTCGAAGCCCCGGACTGGTTCGTCTCCCGCTGGGGCTCAAACTGGCTGCTCGAGCTCGCAACACCCCTTCACCCGGATAACAGCCCAGAGGAATGGAACGTCACTATCCCCCTGCATCTGCGATACCTGCACCCCTCCGAGTCCGGGTACCGCTCCGCCGCGGTTCCATGGCCGATAGTTTTCTGGGCGTGCACGGCGGAAGACGGCACCAAGATGGGTATTAACCCCTTTGATCGGGTGAACCTGGGCTGGGAGGGGTTGTTTGGGCCCCGTACGATGTTCTATCAATTACACCCATCGCCGCCGGATGGCAAGGGCCAGCTTGTGGAAGAGCTGGAAGTACCTGTCCTGCGATTGCGAGATGATGGTGGATTTTTCCGGAGCAGGGCCATTGAGCTGGGGACGGTTGTTGTCGTTGGGCTGGGGCTGCTTTGGGTTCTATGGAAGCTTGGTCTCGTCGCGCGGACGGCAAGGGCAAGGACGAGGACCCAGAAGAAAGAAAACAAGCAGGGGAAGGCCGAGTGATGTGGGTAGCGTTCAAGTTCATGTCAATACCAATGATTGTCACCGACGTATATATATCATTACAAAGGACCCGAGTCCTGAATCAGGAATGCTGCTCCTTCGAACACAGCTAGTTAATGTAAGCCAAAAAGAAAAAAAAGTAAGGGTATCTCAGTCTGCCTCGAACTATATCCATCAAAACCAAAACAACTCAATCTGTAATTGCATACTACGCTCGAATCAAATCCCCATCTCCGGCAACGGCCACGGCACATCCGTCATCAGGAACTGATCCAGATCGAAATTCTGCAGACTCGGCATATCGATCATCAGATCGCCCAGCCAGGAAAACTCCGAGTTGTCTGCCAGTGACTGCGGCAGCTGCGGCTGGCGCTGCGAAGAGCCTCCACCAGCAGCATTGGCGCTGACCTGCGGCGCCGAGACGGCAGCGTTCGCGTTGACCCGTAGAACATCGCGGAGAGCCCGCGTGTCTTCTTCCTTGCGGCGCTGATGGAGTAGGATGAGCAGGTAGGCGGTGCTGTAGGCTTCGCGCATGACCTCGGTGTCGTAGGCGGTTGTGACCTCACGGAGGGTGCGCATTGCTTCGCCCAGGAGGGCGAGGGAGGCGCGGCTGTCGATTGCGAGGAGGGTGCAGACGACCTGGAAGGGGACGTTGGCGATCTGGTGCCAGGGGCAGATGGAGGCGACCATTTCGCGGGCGGCGCGGAGGCCGGTGCCGGCGAGGGCGAGGACGCGGTCGAGCAGGTCGCCGGATATGCTGGAGTTGAGGGCGCGGAGGCGGCGGTACAGGCAGAGCATGAGGTTGCACTGGGCGAGGATCAAGGGGGGCTGGATGTGGATGACGTCGAGGACGGCGGCGAGGGCGGATTCCAGGCCTGGGGCGTCTTGGGTTTGCTTTGGGTCGAGGCTTTCCGAGACGGGGAGGAGATTGAAGATCTCCGAGGGGCTGTTTGGGGATCGTGGTGTGGGTGGGAGGGAGGTTGCGCCATGCAAGACGACCCGGGACCGGCCGAGTTCGAAGGAGATCCACACGTTCAGGTGGCGGGCCATGCCGAAGAGTCGGCGGCGGATTTCTGGGGCGCAGGGGGTGGTCGTCTGGCCGAGAACTGTATCTGGTAAGGGCTCGAGATGGAGACCCGACGCCTCGATGAGGTGCATCAGCGAGCAGCTGGCCATCCAGGCGACGTGGGGGGATGCTGTCATGCGGAGGTACGCGACACGGAGCACCCAGCCGGTGACGATGTCGACCGACGCGGGGTTGTCGACGAGAAGACGGTGTTCCAGGATGACTCGAGCGGTTTCGACGAGTCGATACTCGGCGGGGACGGCTCGTCGCCGTGAGAAGAGAAATCCGAGAGCCGCTATGCCGCAGAGTACCGCATCGTAGGACCCGTATGGCAGGGCTGACTCCGACGAGGAAGGCAGCCATCGTCTGCTGACTTGGCGCAGTACAACATCTCGATCAAGAAAAGGGTAGCACGGATCGACCTTTTCAAAGTAGAATGTCATCAATGATCGCATCTCGTCCTGGGAGATGATGTCGACGATGGGCACAGCCGTGACCGAGGCCGACGTCGGCATGGCCGATGGTGGCGGGTGACGAGCCCCGACGTTCCAGGCGAAAAGATGCAATCTGGGCTCATTGGCTGGATCCAGCTTGAGACCTAATCTACGCACAAACGCTGCGCCCGAGTTGGCCTCGAGGGAACTAACGTGGATGCTCGTCGAGTCTCCTGGAGTCGACTGCTCCTGGCTCTTCGGCCGAGGTGACTCTTCGATGACACTAGGCCGATGCATCGATAGAGCGACTGATGGCCGAAATACCTTGACATCTTTCTTCTTGCGAGATTGGATGTCGTAGTGGCATTCTGAGGCTGCCCCCAACTGTACACAGGTGCTGCATGGCTGGTCACCGGAGCACTTGCGTTTGCGCGACTGGCATGATGTGCAGGCGATTCTGGAGCGCTTTCGCGGTCCTGGCTCAGTCATGGTGTTTCAGAGCATTTCCCAACATCAGCAATTTTTGATATTCACTTTGGGGAAGAAGACTTTCCCTCAGGTAGTTGTGGGGATGGTGTACTCCAGATGGCGTGGATAGTTGTTTTGGTTGCATTCATGTGAAGTGGTCTGGAAATTACGCCCTGGAGGGGCCAACTGGTTTCTCTCTTTCTTTCGGTCTTACTGTACAACGAAAGGTCATCCACAACACTCAACTGATCTCCCATTTTGATCAGACTTTTATTTGAGTATAAGTGCATTAATCAAATAAAGGTGCAGTAGCTGTGATTTCAGTCGTGATTACCAATTAACACTAATACAGGCCAGTTGTCTCAATCTTCATACTTTCGTCCGTCTGGATATCCCATGAGATCCTCCAATTTCTTCAGGTCAGGCATGCCTGCAGGACCAGGCATGTAGTGGATATTGTCTCGGAAGGTGGTTCCATTCCACCAGATCTCGTTCTTGTGAAGTGCTTCCATGATCCGGGCAGAGTCGATATAGGTGCGGATTTCCACCATCTGCCCCTGATGCCATCGAGTTACCCAGACGTTGACAATGTCAAAGTCATCTCCTGCATGTCGTCTCAGTCAGTACTGCCCTTGATCTTGATTGACATGGATCGCACCTGAATTCATCACCCCCTTGAAATTGACCTCCTGAACAGACCATTGCTCATTACAGCCTCCGTGGATAGCTTGGGGATGGATCTCGAATTTATCCGCATGGTCGAGGAACAGCACACTTACTCGCCGCAGAGCATTGACATAGAAATGCAGCAGATCGTTATAGTGACCCGCAATCGGATGGTGGCCGACGACCGTGAAACTCACGTTCTTGTGGATGAGGGTGAAGAGCTTGTTCATATCCTTCTCCAGATCCTTGAATGAGTCCCAAATGTGCATCTGCGAGACGTATTTGCAGTCCGTCGACGGGTTCTCGAACTTGAATCCCTCTCTTTCCCGGTGGTCTGGGGGATTGTCGACAAGGCCGTCGCCATTGCATCGGCCACCGGGGTCGACAATGCCAGAACCATCGCAACCAGGAGCTTCTAGGGGAGTTTGGGATTGTGGGACTGGCTGTGGCTGGTATTGGTAAGATTGAAATGGTAGAAACCCCCAGCCAAGGGTCTCTGCTGGAAGGGTGACGGCCACCAGGGCTTGGAGGAGGTAATGGAAGCAAACCATGGATTATTAGGGGGACAGTCTGCTCGATGGAGAACCACACTATGACGCTTTCTTTCTACGAGAACCTTTGTGTTCGATATATAGCGATGACTTTCGTCTTGCCTGGAGGCCCTGACGTTGAAATTCCCCGATTTGATGGAAGCTGTGCGACTAAGTACTACATTGTACACCTATAACCATGCTTGAGGTGCCGTAGCATGAAGCTCGCAAGCTCTGAAAGTCGCCGATTCGCAATTGCTCATCAGTAAAGGAGTTAGGGAGATGAGCCGTCGTATTCTCTCTTGAGGAATCCTAGTAAGTCATACAGTTTCACAGAAGCATAAGTCCCCGTTGTAAAGAAGTATCTAGTAGACCCGATAAATTGATAGATCTCCCTTCTCTTTTGGACACACTGACGTCAAATGATAAGATACCAGTGAGCCACCAATTGGCTCCTACCGTAGCAATTATTGAGTGACTTCAGTATACCCGGAGTAGGTAAAGAGATCATCCATGGGTGCGTTGAATCGTCTTTTTGATCCAGCCCAATCAGTCCTCTTGATTTCAAGAGGTAGACTACAGTCCATCTTTGCTGTTGAGAATTAGATAGGTGAGTCATAAGCCATTTCCATTTGATGATGACAGCGGTGTGATGGAGGGGATGGAGATGCCTTAGTGCACCCGAGGGCATCCTCTGATGAGCGGTGTCTCTGACTCCCTATCCACTAACGATACTCCAAGTATTTAGAGATCACAATCAAGTAGATAATCGCATTATCAATTGCTGTCGAATTGCCCAATCCATATCGTAATGGATGAACGGGAAACAAAGAAAAACAAAAAGCTGTGGAAAAACGCCTCCGATCGCGGGACTCCAAATGCACAGCCTGTGATTGGTTCATCAGTCATTGCCCGCCCTTCCAGTCGGTGTAGCGGGGCACGTGCCGTCCTCCCGGGCCGAAAATCGCACTTTTCCAGTGGCTCCTTTTGCGACCCTCATATTCTGCCTCTCGCCCTCTCATTTTCTTCCTCTTTCTTCCCTTTCTCTTCATCCTCTGTCGTCCCAGATTTCCATCATCAACACCCCACAACTATCATCATCGTTCTCTGATCGATTCATGTCTTTTTAGACACCCAATCCATCAACATATTTTTTTAGTGACTGGTAACAGCACAGTCGCGCTTATGGTTTTGGCACCAACCGTCTTCACTTCTCAGGTATGTCCTTCCTGGCCACATGGATGTCATACCCGCCACCACCATCCGTCCAAACCATAAATAAAAAAAATTGCTAACATAATGACCTTCAGGACTACATCTCGGATCACCTCTGGAAAGCTTCCGGAAACTATTGAGACCACCCGCATCACTACCTGCTTCCACACAATTCTTCGTCTTCCACATCAAATAATGTTCGCTCGTGTCTTCAAGGCTATGCCCGCCAGGGCTCCAGCCTTCCCTTCCGTGAATGCGTCCATCCAGTCTCGCTTCATGGCCACTGTTCGTCAGCAGCGTCCCGCTAATGAGCGTGCCACTTTCACGATCCGAGATGGTCCGATCTTCCACGGCAAGTCCTTCGGAGCTCGCACCAACATCTCCGGTGAAGCCGTCTTTACCACCTCTCTGGTCGGATATCCCGAGTCTCTGACCGATCCTTCCTACCGTGGTCAGATTCTTGTCTTCACCCAGCCCTTGATTGGCAACTACGGCGTGCCTTCTGCTGAGAGGGACCAGCACGGTCTTCTCAAGTATTTCGAGTCCCCCAACCTCCAGGCTGCTGGTGTGGTTGTGGCCGATGTGGCTGAGCAGTACAGCCACTGGACCGCCGTCGAGTCTCTCGGCGAGTGGTGTGCTCGTGAAGGTGTCCCTGCCATCTCCGGGGTCGATACCCGTGCTATCGTCACCTATCTGCGTGAGCAGGGTTCTTCACTCGCTCGCATCACCGTTGGCGAGGAGTACGACGCCGACCAAGACGAGGCTTTCACCGATCCTGAGCAGATCCACCTCGTCCGCCAGGTTAGCACGAAGGCTCCTTTCCACGTGAGTGCAGCCGATCCTCAGTGCCACGTCGCTGTCATCGACTGTGGTGTCAAGGAGAACATCCTGCGTAGTCTGGTCAGCCGTGGCGCCAGCATCACGGTGTTCCCCTTCGACTACCCCATCCACAAGGTCGCCCACCACTTCGACGGTGTCTTCATCTCCAACGGCCCCGGTGACCCGACTCACTGCCAGGAGACGACCTACCACCTTCGTCGCTTGATGGAGACCTCTCAGGTGCCCATCTTCGGTATCTGCCTGGGCCACCAGCTTCTTGCTCTGGCCGCTGGTGCTCGCACCATCAAGCTCAAGTATGGTAACCGTGCTCACAACATCCCTGCCCTGGACCTGAGCACTGGCCGCTGCCACATCACCAGTCAGAACCACGGTTACGCTGTAGATGCGTCTACCCTGCCCTCTGACTGGAAGCCCTACTTTGTCAACCTGAACGACTCCAGCAACGAGGGTATGATCCACAAGTCTCGCCCCATCTTCAGCACACAGTTCCACCCTGAGGCCAAGGGAGGTCCTCTTGACTCCTCTTACCTCTTCGATATCTACATTGATAGTGTGCGCAAGTACAAGGCCAGCCAGGCCGCCTTCCACCCCCAGCGGGACAGCCTCCCCAGCCCTCTGTTGGTTGATCTGCTTGCCAAGGAGCGTGTCGGTGTGCAGCCCACTATCGGCATGCAGAACATTGCTGCCGCCGCCGCTGCCGCTGCCGCTTAATTGAATTGCTGGTCTTGTTCTTGTGTTTTGGAGTCATGGTTGTCATACGGGCTGGATATATTGGGTTCATGTTTGTCCATAAGGTTAATCAATTACAATCACGAATTTTGTTCATATCATCACCATGTATAGCCATTGCCGTAAGCCACGTATTGTGGGGTTCCATCTGCAACGGACATTCAGGGTTGCCTTACCGGTCGAACAACGATGCTAGTGTCTTATGTCCACAGTAGCCTTAGATCCGAAAGTCACAATCACCAGCAGAACCCTGGTGAGTTAAGTGAGCACTGAGTAGCTCAAATATCTCATTATTCAACTGTTCAATCTTCGGATTCGTTCATTCATGATATCCTAGCTACGATGTCCCGCTTACTTGGCAACTATCGAAACCACATCCTCATCCGCAACAACATGACCCAGTCCCACCCGCTGGGGAATATGTCTCGCACTCGCACCCCAGACCAAAGCATACTTGAACGTCTCCTTCAGAGTCCGATGGATGGAGTCACAGACATCCTCGATGGTCGAGTTGCTGCGCACGATCAGTGCCTCCGAGAAATCGGGTTCTTCTCCTTTCCTGCTCGACTGTCAATTACCCTGCTGGAATTTTGTAATGGAGAGTGGGGGAAAGTACCGTTTAGTGTATACTCTGATCAAGCGGAGTTCCGTCCAGATGCGTTCGACGACGTCCTGCACGCCCAGGTCGAGTTCGCAGCTCATGACGGCTGTGTGTGGTTCGCGGGCGAGCTGGTCGAGGAAGTCCAGGCTGACGCTGTCGATTTTGTTGTAGACGTAGAGACTTTTGGTGGGTTAGTATTAGTGTCTAGGAGTGGAAAAAGAAGGGGGTTTGGCTGGGCACGGCACCATCTGATGTATTTTCTATGGTCTTTCATGATAACGTCGATGAAGTCGTCGATTGTTGCTGGCGTTTGTCCGTTAGTGTGGGGTCTGGAGTATACGGAAAAACAACTGATGGAGGCGTACCGTTCTCGTCTCGCACTAAGACCTCGCAGTTGAGGATCTTGTAGTCTCTCAGGACGTTGAAGATCATTTTCTCGTCGAGGTTCTTGGGTGGAGTCTGGAAGGTGATTTTCATTCCACCTGCCTTTTTGGCTTTGAGGTAGATGTTGCTTTTGAAGTCAGTATAGGAATGCGAGGCGGTTGGTTGCGTCCTTACGGAGGCTCCTTGTTGAGACGGATCCCGACAGCGTCTAATTCTGCTTCCAAAAGGGCTCGCTGTTCGGCACGTTTCGTAGCGTCCAGGACCATGAGGATTAGATCGCTCGTCTGGTCACGGTCAGAAGATCATTCCTGAAGCATTTTCACAACCCGTTCCGCTGTACACACCTTGGCCGCAGAGATGACCTGTCGTCCTCGTCCCTTACCCTCAGCAGCACCTTCAATAATACCCGGAAGATCGAGAATCTGGATCTCCGCACCGCCATACTCCAGCACACCCGGGATGGCCGTGAGCGTCGTGAACGAGTACGCGGCCGCCTCGCTCCTGGTCTTGGTGATCTTGGACAGGAACGTCGATTTTCCGACGGACGGGAAACCGACAAGAGCGACTCGAGCATCGCCGCTCTTGCTCACATCGAATCCCGCGCCGCCACCGCCGGCGCCGCCAGTGGGCTCCAGCAGCTGTGCTCTTAATCTGGCGAGTTTTCTGGATGCGGGTCAGTGCTGCGCAAGCACAGGCCTCCAGAAAGGGCAATACTCACCCTTTCAGCAGACCAAGATGGTATTCTGGATCTAGTCAGAACATGGTCTCGACTACATATGCATTGGAGTCCCACCTGTGGCCTTGTTTTCTGTTCTCCAGAGTTAGCTGCGGGGTTCTCTGGATAGAGGCATGGATGACTTACTCTGCGTCCTGCGCATCTCCTCCTCAATCCTGCATAGCGGCTACATGAGTTCTCTGATTTCATGAAAAGATACGGCAAAACGTACTCTTTGATTTTTTCTGTAATGTTCACCATCCTGACGGTTGGGGAGCCCCAGGACCCCTCTTACGCTTCGAACTTGTATGTACTTGGTAAGAAGAAAGAAGACCGCTCCAAGAGGTCTTGTCAATATAATAGCAGGTATCCTAAACAGGAAAATGAGAGAGTTTCCACAATGAAATAAAATTTTCGAATACAGCTTTAGAAAAGTCGTCTGGCAAAGCATATCAAAATCATCGCAGCAAAAACGGCGCCAAGACCCATTGCTTACATAATCCCCAATGTCGCCTCGTTATTTCACCTGAAGGTATCGCAGTATCGCATCTTTGCTCAACAATCAACTCACAACCTACAATCACCTCACAATTCGAACCCACAGTCATGGCGGAGACAGCAGTCGTCGATCCTCCACATGCTACAGAGCCAACACCTCTACCAACAGAATCAGTCGAGCCAAGCGGACTCACTCCCAGTGACGAAAATGCTCTCACCCAAGCCACAGAAACCGCCGTCGCCGTCACGGACGCCGATGGCACACAAAAAAAGACGAAGAAGATAATCCGGCGAAAACGACGACCCGCCCGGCCGCAGGTCGACCCTGCAACCCTGAAATCCGAGCCGCCTCCGCAGACCGGCACCGTCTTCAACATCTGGTACAACAAGTGGTCCGGCGGCGACCGCGAGGACAAGTATCTCTCGAAACACGCCGCGCCCTCGCGGTGCAACATCGCCAAGGACAGCGGGTACACGCGCGCAGACAAGGTGCCCGGCTCTTACTTCTGCCTGTTCTTCGCGCGGGGCGTCTGCCCCAAAGGCCACGAGTGCGAGTACCTGCACCGCCTGCCGACGCTGCACGACCTCTTCAACCCCAACGTGGACTGTTTCGGCAGAGACAAGTTCAGCGACTACCGCGACGACATGGGCGGTGTGGGCTCGTTCACGCGCCAGAACCGGACGCTGTATGTTGGTCGGATCCACGTGACGGATGACATCGAGGAGGTGGTCTCGCGCCATTTCGCGGAATGGGGCCAGATCGACCGCATCCGCGTGCTGACCTCGCGCGGTGTGGCGTTCGTCACGTACACGAACGAGGCGAATGCGCAGTTCGCCAAGGAGGCGATGGCGCACCAGAGTCTGGATCATAATGAGATTCTGAATGTGCGCTGGGCGACCGTTGATCCTAATCCGTTGGCGCAGAAACGGGAGGCGAGGCGCTTGGAGGAGCAGGCGGCTGAGGCTGTGCGGAGGGCGTTACCGGCCGAGTTTGTCGCTGAGCTGGAAGGTCGGGACCCGGAGGCGCGGAAGAAGAAGAAGATCGAGGGCAGTTTCGGGCTGGAAGGGTATGAGGCTCCAGACGATGTGTGGTATGCTAGGACCAAGGAGTTGGAGGACGCAGGCAGGGCCGGCCAGCTCGAGGCTCCAGACCAACATTTGATGATCGAACCGGCATCGTCGTCTTCCGCAGCCCTTCCGTCACAATCAGAGAACGGTGGTATCTTCTCAAGCTCAACGGTGGCAGCACTCAGAGGATTGGCTGGCGGCAATGTGACGACGCAGAAAGCCCCGGCGAATTCTGGCGGTCCTCTTGTGGCTTACGGAAGTGATGATGATAGTGATTGATTTTCTTCATGACTCGCATAAATCCATTGATCTTGTGTACAACAGCAAAGATACCTCAAATTGTCTTCATTTGTTTTTTGTGTTCATACTACTTATATCATTCAGGCGTTCATCTGGCGGGTATATTCGCTATCAAAACAATGAGAGGACACAGCATACGTCTAATAAATGAAACTTCAAATCAAATAGAACATGACATGGTACTTCATCACTCATTGATCCTTTACTTTTCACTTCCCCGCCCAAGGTCATAATACAGACACGACCCTGTACGGTAGTTGTAAATGAAGGCATTGCTGACACTGTCAGGGCCATCTTTCGTGAGGCTCTCGTTGGCAAGGTCAAGTAGTAGTTCGTGGACCTGACTGAGGTACTTTCGCTCAGTCAACGGGGCACTTTGAATGACTGAGCGCCAGCTTTCAGGATCCGACAGGCGCGTATCCCTGATCGCTTCGAGCAGGTCGTCTCGAGTGTCAATAGCGGCAATAGGCCCGTTGATTGCCTTCTCGACAACCTCCCGGGAACGAAGGAGAGCTACCTCTGATTAGTGTAATTGTTCACTTAATGAGGAGATTTTCGGACATGACGTACCAGACTCGACAATATTTCTTCGGTTTGTCTTCTTGCTCCGGTGCTGAGACACCAAGATGCGTACATCGTTCGCTCTTTCATTAGCTCCAGCAATGGCGTCTGACTGACTCGGCAATCGGGACTGCCGTAGGTCGGGCGCACCCTCGCGTTGATTGCGGGCACGTATCTCGTTTCGAAGCCAAGGGATAAGCTCGGAGCTCCTGATGTCGAGTTCTTCCTTGGGAACGAGACACTTCACTTTGAAGCCTCGCTCTTTACTATCTTGTTTGGCAATGACAATCCAACTATGATTGTGATCTTTGTACTCAGAGAGGAGTTCTTCCAGTGATGAAGCGTCGACTGCCAATTCAGCGCTGATATCACTCGCCCACAAATCCTGCACAAGCTTGACACCCATTGTGCGCAGCACGGTCGCATCGAAGCTTGCAACGAGCACGTCACACTGCTATTGTCAGGATAAACGTAAGGCAGACAAGTTCAAGAATCTGACTTACCCTCCTGGTCTTCCAAAAAGCCCCAGCGTCCGATTCAGCATGCTTGACAGGTGCTTTCGTCGTACCTTTGAGATACTCGAGCATAGCCGAGCTGAGTCTGTCCCAGCTCAAATTAAAGCCAACTGCATGTGTTTGAGAGCGGCTCCTTAGAACCTTTGGACAGAACTCTTGCACCAACCGGTCATACCGACCGCCGGCTGCAAAGACGTCCCGTCGCTTAGTGTCAAAGACACATTGAAAAAGTATACTACCTCTGAAAAACTTGTCGTTCAGACTGCCAAGAGGATTGACGTAGACCTTCCGTTTGACGTCGAAGCCTTGCATGTACGTCACGAGTACGTTTATGCGAGCGAAAATAGGTGATAGTCGCTCGGCGAACTCCGTACCTTCCATGATGGACCTGAGCCGTTTTTGAGCTTGCTTAGGGGTGTCTGATGCGCATTAGCCCAGTCTCATGCCGTGGAAAAGTGAAATATACCTCTAAAATCAAACCTCGCCAAGTCGTCCAACGAGGTAGAGGCGACTCCAATGGCTGGCGATCGGAGTTCACTTCTGATCTTCTGCATCGTCCATTTGCCAAAATTTAACTTGCTGATTACTTCCTTGACCAACGGAATCTGAGAAGGAGTGATGCGGCAGAATTCCATGATGAGCTGCAGAAGGTCGGAGTGATTTACGAGAAAACTCATCGGGGACGACCTGAGCGGCGGGAACTCTTCAATGATCTCGTCGAGTACCTTGATAACTTCCGCTTCTTTCAACGCCAGATCAAGAGTATTGTGCGATACGATATCAAAGTCAACTTCTTTGTGAGTTCTGGGCTCACTGCCATGGGGCATCTCTCGATAGACTGTGCCGAAAGCGAATGTTTTCTCCAGGGAGGGATCCTGCCTAGAGATAGAGCGTGCGTTCGGTAAGGTGAGGTCGAATGGTAGCTGAAGCAGATTACCCGATGCATCGAGCAGTCGAACGGCACCGCTTCTGTAGTGTTGGGACCTAGGAAACAGCATTTGCCTAGTAGTCTCAACCGCCCCATGTCTGCGGAATATAGCGGTTAGTCGCTCTTTGACTAAACCCTGAACGAGTAATTCATTGGCCGCTGGAGCAGCGCGCGAGTCCATATCCCAGGCAATATCTTCATATTTTTTGGGCGATTGTGAGAAGATGGCCGAAAGAATCTTCTTGTAGTCGGGGGCATTTGGGTCAGAGAGGAGATGCACGATCGCTCGTCTAAACGTCTCTTCTTCAACCTGGAGAGGAATCTTGCCGCTCTGGAGAAGTTCCGAGGCAGAAGGTCGTTCCTCTGGATTATGACTCAATAGCGATTTGATAATGCTTCCCTGCACTGCCTTTTCCGAGTACTGAAAAGTCGGTGGAAGAATATGATGTTCTTCTCGAATCGCCCGTAGAGTTTGATCGCGTTCCATACCCGTGGGCAACGGGTGGCACATCTCGAAGAATATTATACCCAAGGAGTACATCTACCACAAATTAGCGACCCTGCTCTCGGCTACTGTTGGCACCATTATACTCACATCGACTTTCTCGTTATAGTGACCTGCGAAGCCAGACTTCATTTCCGGAGCGACGTAGTAAGTAGTCCCGAGACTTCGCGTGAGATTGCCTTCAAAATCTGCGGTAGTCGACGAACGCACAGCTGTGGTAAACTGTCCACTGGTAGCCAGGCCGAAATCTCCAATTCTTGGGTTGCTCGCCACATCAATGAATATATTGTCAGGTTTCAGATCACGGTGTATAATGCCATGGCTGTGAATATGACTTAGCCCGTCAAGAATTTGACGGAACAGTCGCCATGAACGATCGATATCGTCGCACAAGCCGTTCCTTATCAAGTCGCGAAGAGTCTGGCAAAGTCAGCTATTTGCCTTTCAGCGACTGCAATGGACACTTACGTGTTTCTCGCAATACTCCATCTGTATATAAAGCGTTGTAAGATGGGCTCGGCCCTGTGAACCGGATCTCACTCGACTTAGCTCGGTCCCCGGGACACTCTCCTCGCCATAAGCATCATAAGACTCTGTTCCTCCTCGATGAGATACGCTTGCGTCATGTTCATCCTCACTGTCAGAAGCAAACTCGATCTTGGGGTAACCGCTGGAGCTGATAAAGTCAAGCCCTCCAGTGCTGTAACCAAATCCATTTGCATCCCGACTAGCGAAGGGGTCTCCTTCGGTCGATGAGATGGCTTCTTCCTCAATATGATCATACTCTTCCTCCAGCCACGCAGTGAAATAGCGAACGACGTATGGATGGTTGAGTCGCGAGAGCAGCATAATCTCCGAAAGAGTATCTTTGAGCGCAGAGGCTGATCTCTGAGAAATCTTTTTGATAGCGTAAAACCGACCATCGAGCTTATTCCTAGCTTTTACTACCTGTCCAAAGCCACCTTTGCCCAGGCGCCCGGCTTCATCAAAGTCTTGGTTGTATCGCGAGAAAGCGGGAAGCCCCCCGATTGAGTCAAGGCGTGGGCGTCTGGGCAGTGACACCGAGTTCGAAGTACTCGTGCGAGCAATTAAGGGTGTGTCGACCCGGAAAAACTCGAAGGGTTGGAGCTGGAAAGCGGTCGGTCGCTTCTTCGGATCTGGTCTGAAAAATTCATGCAGCAAATCTTGCAAAGGTGCTGATAAACCCAATGTTCCCATGAGTGCGTTCGCTGATGTGTACCGCTGCAACACATCCTTACCAAACGCCATCTGCAGGAAAACTATACCCATGTCCCATACATCAGTTTTCATCGTCGGAGGCGTACTTTCTTGTGTGAGTTCAGGAGGCATCCAGAAAGGGGACTTCGAGATTGTTAGGGATCTTTTGCTGCCGTCGGTATCCGGGAGCGTATCTTCAATGCTTCCCTGCAGCTTTACAATGGTACCACCGTGCGGGTTCCTGAAAAGCAGTATGCGTCCGCAGTGGATGTTCCCATGCACAAATCCGTTGCGATGATAAAACTCAAGAGCTTCGAGCAGTTGGATCATCCAACTACGGATAATTTCCACCGACACACTCCCCACGATGTCCAGGAACTCGGATAGGGACCCTTTGTTCGCATATTCAAGAAGAAGATAAACTCTCCAGGTGCTGTCTTGGGCCTCAAAGGAGTCTAAGGGTCTATATATCTTGAAACCAATAAAATCCACAAGATTGGGATGCCGAAGTTTTTTCAGAGCCTCTAGTTTGTCCTCACTAGCACGCATTCGCTCTCGAAAAACAAGCGACGCCGTCCCTTTCCCATCGAGAGAAAGCTCCTTCAGGACGATAAGAGGTGCATGTGAGCGGCTCTCTGACACCACCGGTCTGACTGTGAATGTCTGCTTTCCTGGACTGCTCTGTAGGAGCGTCTTCCCATATACAGCCCTAAATCCTAGCGGTTGTTCGTCCGTGTCGTTTATTATCAATGGCGGATCAAAAGTAATGGCGCCAGGAAAGTGGTCAACCGCGTCGACGGAGCCGGACAGACCTATACCAGAAGTCCTACTCTTTCGCCTGGAAAGACGAGCCTTCGTCCGTTCTCTGAGTTTATCCTCCAGCAGCTGCTGCAGAGCTCGCTCTTCTTCTGCTGTGGCCGCTTCCTGTTTTCGAAGCTCTTCTTGCCGTTCCAACTCCGCACGCTGATTGGCAGCAGCTTCTTGCTCCATGCGTTCCTCTTCTAAACTCGGTAGATCCTTATCCTGGGCCTGCGCCTGGGCAACGTCCTCGAGAACATCCTGGATTGACACGGCGAGTTCATAGATCATCTCAGAGCCGAGCAGCTCTTTCGGTTTGTTCCGAATAATATCTTGAATTTTTAACCGAGCCCTGTGGCGAATGTTTTCTGAATTACCCAGTGAAAGATTCGGATATGTTTTGGGATATGTCGTCGGCAGCTCAACTAGCAAATCAACACGGACCTCGGGATTTGACGAAGCACGTAGATGAAGCTTAAAGGCCACATCGGACGATTGCTACAACGCTGAATGTCAGCCGCGCCAGAAAGCTAGTCAGAGAATCTCAAGCGCACCTGCCAGGCGGAAGGCCTGTGCTTGATTTCTTCGAAGTCATCATCACCATAGATTGAGCGTAACGCCTCGACCTCATTCTGATGAATCTCCCGGTAATTCGTCGTCGCTAATCCAGGCTGAGCAAGCGGAGCGGTATTCGACGTCGACTGCTTCCTCTCCGCTCGGGGAGAGCCGTTTTTATGGGCATTGCTAGGATTCTTCTTCTGCTTGTGAGGCATAGCGGGGCGGTGGGCGGTGGGCGGTGTAGAAAGTCTGAACCCAAATTCAGTGGGTCTTTGCCACGTGAGACGCGAGTGACAAAGATGCAGCCGAAGCTGCAGCCCTCTATATCTCCGGAAGGGACATATCTATATCTGGTATTGGGGGTTGAAAAAGGTGAGAAGAATGCGTTGTTCTTGGGCTGGCGGGATGGAGCTTAGATAGAGAGCGGAAGAGCGTTATATAAACCGCTGACCCATAGGTGATGGACCCTCAATTGGCTGGCCTGTCTCGCTCCGTTGTTTTTCCGCTCACCGCCCTGGGCGGTTAGCACCGTCGCTGGAGAAGCGTAAACAAAGCACAGCGTTCCACGTCTCGCACGCCCTGCTCGAACCCCTCTTGAGACACCAATGGCGTCGCTGTTGCGATGCGTCTTTTGTCCAGCTTGGTGATTTGAAATTAAGAGTTCCCGCCGCAGACGCAATGCTGGACTGGATAAGTGGGCAGAGCAACCAAGTCGCGCATTCCGCAGGTGTGTCCATCAGTGCCCGCCCACAGCTTTAGCACCCACTCAATGCTCGGTGGTGACCAATGATCGACTACCTGCATTTACCTTTCTGAAGACCATAATTGTCGTGGTTGCGCGCTGACTTGTGTTGTTGTTTGTTTCCCTAGACAACTCAAAAGTTTTGGATCCTCCCGAAACACCCGCTCCCGTGTTTGCTATTCGCGCCTTCAAGAGTGCCCTATTTGGCACTCCAGGAGCGGAAGACGAGGAGGTTAGCGACCAGGATTCGAAGTCAGATCAAAATTTAGCGAGTCGTCGGCCGGGCAAAAGTGATCTATTGAAGCCCCCAGTTGCTTATCGCGCAACAGATGTCACCAAGACTGAGAAGACGGACGTCGATATGGCAGTGAACGCGATGGTGTCGCCGACCAAAAGCATATTGGTCACGCCGGGTACTGCTGCAAATCGGCGGAAGACAGTCTCGTTTGGCGACGGGGTTGTTGACAATGAAAGAAAGCGAAACGATGCGTCCACGCAATCGTCCAGAACGCCAATGAATCTATCTGGTAACCTTAGCAGCCAATGGTTGTCAAGCTCTTCAGACAGCAAGGGCAAACCACGAAGCAGACTCACGCAAGCACTACTGGATTCTCGGGACAAATCTCCCAATGACTCTACGCCGACTAACGGCCAAGGACCTGAATCTAATCCTTCCACAAACACAGCATCTAAGGAGACACTGCAGTCGAACAGCGCAGATGATGAGACTGTCAATCTCGACGACCCGCGCTCTCAGTCTGGCAAATACTGGAAAGCTGAGTTTGACAGCTACCGTGCGAAGACGACGAACGAAATCAGAAAGCTGATTCAGTATCGGTCCGCTGCCAAGAAATTCGCTCTGATGAAGGAAGCAGAAGCCTCGCGTCTGGCGAAGAAACTGAAGGAGGAGGAAGTGAAGGTCGCCGAAATGGAACGACACGTCACACAGCTCGCTTCCACAATGGTAGCGGAAAACGCAAAGGCAGATAGAGAGCAACTGGTTCAAGATTTGACCAAACAGACTGCTTTGGCCCTGCAGTATAAGCATCGAGTCAATACCCTACGCAAGCTCCTAGAGCGGCATGGTGTTGTCGGTAGTGAGGTGGATGACATCGTGGAAAAATCAGAAGGGAATAACTCGCCTGAGGAGGCAAGCCAGGAGCTGCGTAAAACCCAGCAGGCTTTGAGTCGGGCGAATGCCAAAATTGAGGAAATGGAACGCCAGCAAGTTGACTTCGACAAACTCAGGGAGCTCGCACAAAGCTCAGAGCAGAAGGCCTCGGAGCTGGCCCGAGAGAATCTCACACTGAAGCAGTCCTTGGCGAGAGTCAAACAAGAGATGAGCAAATACGAAGGGCGGCGCAAAGAGAAAGAAGCGAAGCTCAAGCAACGAGAGATCAAACTGGAAGCCCGGATTCAGGATTATCGCAACCGCCTGAAGACGGCTTCACAGGAACATCGCGAAATGGAAGAAGATCTCAGAGAGTCATTCAATGAAGAACGACGTCGCATGCAGGACCAGATTGACCTTCTCCAATTGAAGGTAGCGGCTTTCGAACGTGTCCCCGATAGTAGGATTCGCAGCCGCCACTCATACAGTCCGCACAAAGACTATACAGGGGTCCAAGTGTATGACTTTGGGCGCACCATCCCTCAACGTAACGAGACCGAAGAGATGCAAGACATCGATGAACCGCCGAGTCCCAGCCCACGATCGAAAGAGCGACGCTCACGTAATCCACACAACCCTACCGTTGAACTCGATCTTGAAAAAGCTGCCCAAGCCATGGGTATGGACATCAATTCTCAACAACTGCCTTCCACAGACTCGCCTCTTAAAGCCCCGGCCGGTCGTTCTCGCAGAGCAACGGTCGTTGGTGCTGACCCAATTCCACCCTCTTCGCCCCCTGAGTTACCACCTATTGAGGTGTCTACCGAGATACTTGCTGAAAAGCCGAAATACAACCAGCTTGACTACCAAACGCATCTGCCGACGCTCGCTACCCTCGATTCCCTTGCGCGCCATCTGGCCGACCGCGATGAACGCCAACAGTCACGTACCCATCGTCAAAAAGCGCGCCGTGCGCCGTCAAAGTACAGCTTGGATACCATATCCGGCTTCACGGACCTGCGTGTCACCGAACGACCGGGAAAGAGACACAGCCTGGCTGCATTGCAACGAGACTCTATACCGGCGGAACGGATGCTGGCTGCCCAAGCACGACTCAAGCAAAAGGACCAGACCCGCAAGAGCAAAGAAGGGGGCAAGGAATTCTTGAAGGCGTACAATACATGATCATTTCGTTCGTTTAGTATCTCTTTCTCTCTGTTTGGTCTTCGGAAAGCGTTGGGTTGGGGGGATTAAAGGTCTGGCGTCGGGGTTTGATTATTTGATTTTGCCAAAGGTCTCAGCTTTAATATCCCTGATGTTCTCCAACATTACGATTCTGCCTTTGCACATTTGCTTTTATCACCCATTTTTCTCAGAAATTACCCGAACGTCTTGTCGAGTCTCAGTGACTGATCATTATACCCTTATGAAACCATATGTGCTACGTCCGATGGAATTAGTCTTCCAACGTCCACCTCTATCATAGACAATGCAGATTGCCTATATCTCGACAATAATGATACGCACTACACTGTAGCCTCGCGGCAGTGGCGACGGGGCCACGAACCACCACCCTGTTGTTCCGGTCAATGGGGGTAGCGGTCTATCCCTATCCCCTGTGAAGATCGAGGCCTCTCCTTGGTCACTTGGGCGCTTCGATGCGTCGGAAAGCTATGATCCGGACGGAGATGGGCTAACGTTCCTCTGGTTCCAATACCGGGAACCGAGTTCGAATAACTGGGTCCTGACTGACGACGTCCCTAAGCTCAAGATCAGGGCTTCTGGCCCGAGCACGTCCCGTCGGGGAATGTAAAGTGCAGTGGTTCTCGATGTCAGCAATTGCATGTGACTCGGGTACTCCGCCGTTGACCAGCTCTCGACGGACGTTAGTCCAAGTCATCGAAGGTGATGCCACTGTTGCTTAGGGCTCGAAGCGAGCAACATGGTCAAGAGGCAATCAGGTTGGCACGGAGTTTGATGTCTGGGATCAGCTGAAGATTCCTTGAACCGTTGCCGAGAAATCACGGTGATTGATGTATACCACAATCCTCTATTTAGATATCTATTCTATACATCTGCGTGATAAAAATCTACGCTTTTCCGTCACAGAAGGAGATGACGGCATACTTGCCGCTCCATGCCCACTTACGGGCCTTGAGGTCGTTCCCGCCTTGCGTCTCACGGAGTTTCTCGTCTTCACCTGGCTTCAGACCGACAACGACATCTGCTTTGCAGGTACGGAAGGAGAGGATGCGGATACCGGAGCTGGGGCCCAGAGGGCCGATGGCTGTTGTAAAGGGGGTTGTTGGGTCCCAGGCAGCCTGTCAACTAGAATTAGCCATCTATGCAAATACCAGTATGTAGACTTGTAGAGAAACTCACGTCGTTGGTCAACTTCCGGTAGTTCAAATCTCCCTTGAACAGGACAAGCTCGCTCTGCTTCAAATCCTCAAACAGATCGGCTGCGACATAGGGCATCCGCCAGTAAGAGCCTCCAGCGGTCCAGAAAGCGTGTGGACGGATGACCAGTCTTCCCTCGCGGTGGAATTCACTCCACTGCTCAAACAGGAACCTCACCTCGGCCAGTTCCTTCTCGGTGAGGGGCTCGTGCTCGCGTCCCGTCTCGTCCGGGGCCGTATAGAAGCCCTGTGCGTCGGCCAGAGCGTTGAGCAGATCCATAAAGTCCCGTGGGGTAACGTCCGACACGAACCACGGGATCAGCTTGGGATGGAGTACCACGGTTGTCGCTAGGCCCGCGGAGAGGAGATAGCCGGCCAGGATGAGATCCACAAACAGCTCAAAGCCAGAGTTATCAAGCACGATATCCACACGGCGCTCGCCATTCTTCTTGTCCTTCTGCGCCTTGGCGAGAACATCAAAGGCGACATTCAGATCGTTGACGAGGATGTTTTCCTCGGCCGCCTTGCGCGCGTTGGAACCCTGCAGCTTCTGGATATCCTCGTATGTGAGAGAAGTTAACAGAGAGAGATCTGTCGCGTTACCCCACAGGCAGATCTCGCACATTTCAGAGAAGAGTACTCGATCGGCTTGCTCGATCTCCTCCGCGGTCTTGCCGTCCACTCCCTTGCCCTTCTGTGCCTGAAGCGCGAGCTCATGGTAGCGCGCCGCTAGCTCGAGTACGGCCGGACGTGACGACTTGAACGTAGACATCTTCTGCCGGGAGAAAACATCGTAACCTTTCCAGTTTTTGGACAATGCAAAGAGGGTACTTATGCGCCGGTCTGTCTTCGTCAGCACCGTCCGTATTACCATGAATCGGAACCTTGTAACACACAAAGATAGCATTCCGAGAACAACCACGAGGCGTTTTGCCATGAGGGCGTTCCTCGCTGCTCCAATTC